TGAGTTCGAACTCACTTCGACTATTCCCGACGGAGAATCTTCGGAGGGGTTCCAGAGGTCTTCTACGCATGTTTTAGAAAACTTTGGATGAAGCCTTTACCAGGTGACCACGAGCTCATGGTCACATGGTAACTAGCAGCTGAGGCCACATTACCCCTCACTGATTTGTAATATCACTCGCCTGTAATCTCTTGATGCCACGTAAAATCAAAGCAAAAATGAGTTCAGTACAGTTCCTTTTGGTCTAGCTTCATTCTCATGCTAGTCAACTGACATCAGACTACACCAAAGAGAGGAAAGCTACAAACAGTCACCAGACTTCTTTGATGTGCAATTGCAATTAGCAATCGAAGTAGGCTTAAAATCGACTGCTCTGGTCTTTCGTCTGCACCCAGTGTTGTTCACTCACTGCTACCACTTCTGCGAAAATCTTACCTCTTCAGGTGTTCCCTCGAGACTACAAACGTGTTCTCAAGGAACAGGAAGAAGAAGAAGAGAAACGCATCAAAGCGGCAGAAAAGGCGGAAAAGGAGGCTGAGGTGGGGAACAACATCACCTTTGATCATTTGTTCCGCACATTTTATCTACACAGTTCCCAAGACGTTTCGATTGTACTCGCTTGGGAAGTGCTTTTTAGGACGAAAATAATAAGCCAGGGCGTCATCGTGAACGAGCGCTTTCCATGGACATGCAAATCGCTCCAACACTCATCCACAAGAAGAAACTTATGGCCAAGAAGAAGCTCAGCGTAAGTGGATGGCATATTATTTTGCCTTTTCTCGTAGTCCTTCCAATTCGTGTGTTTTTATTAGAGCAGAATTTTAGCGTGACAATCAAGCGAACGTACGACTCGAAGTGCCCAAGGTGGTGCAAAGTGTCCGGAATAAGTGTAACCGTAGATGAAAGTAGTGGTGTTTGTAGAGTTGGTTGAGTAACTTCTGGTTTGCGTGTGCAGTGCACAAATGTGGCGGTTTATATTTCACTGAACTGTAGTGGAGCATGATGTGTTGTGACGTACTGGCCCCGCATGCTACGGTAATCTTTCAGGTTGCGCAGCGCAAGCGTAAGTCGTCGAAGAATCCTCGACCACAGGATATTGCTGGATTCGAAGACGAGGAGGACCTACAGGATGCTAATGAGGAGATCGAGGAGGATGAAACAAAGTCCGATAACGATGATGAGCTGTTATTATCAGACGATGACGAGGTTCGATTTTATCGATTTTTTGCATTTTGCTTTGGAGTGCAAACAGCGAGAGCACCCTTATACTCTACAGATGAAGAAAAGTAAAATTCGGGAAAAACTACGACGTGGCAATACTTAATTAGTGATCACAACAATTGTTACTGTTTTTTAGTTCCTCCAACATAATGACTTCCTCCGTGATGTAAAATCTGGTATGGATATCGAAAACATTACCGTTCCACCTCATCTTAAGAAGGATGACGAGCCTCTAGACAAGCTTCGGTACGAGTTCAAATGTTATTGGTTTTGACGACTTCTCTATACAATAATATTTAATGTTTTCCATCTCTCTTTTTTCTATGATATGTCACTTTGATACCATCGGCTTTCCCCCTATAAATACACTGAAATTGCTCATACGCATAAATGGCAAACAGCATGCACAGCTTTGCTATTATTTTTTATCTGCCAATTTTGTGATCAAGTCTTTTCGTGCGCGGTGTCGGACGACTCTATAGTCAGGCTCAGGCTTAGGCTTATGATTGCACACTAGTTTTGCTTGTGCCTGAGATTAGGCTCAGTCCTAGGTTAGGCTCAGTCCTAGGCTCACAAACCAATCAGAGGTGTTCTTTTTTGAGGTAACCTGACCAGAGGAGGAGAACTGCGACGCACCCGTTCCCCTATGTCGTATCACGAAAAAGTGCAAACCTATGAGATAGCCCATTGGACTCCGCCCAACGATTAGTGAATTTGAGGGTGTTTATTATTTAGCCTTTGTTACCAATCGATCAAGATCTGTGTAGCTTAACTTTGAAATGAAATAACCCACACTAGGGAAATGTCTCTTCGAGTAGAAGATTATAGTAAAACTATCAGTTGGACGTCCATGCTCCTCAAAAGGCTCTTGTTAGCGAAATCAGCACGTTCTTCCTTGTTTTGCTTAAGTTTAATTTCAGCGGATTTGTGAAATATAATCGTCAGAGGAGGATGTATCGCAGTCCTGAGGAGCGCGTTAAAGACTGGGATGAAGTGTACGACTTCGGAGCTGTTCGGAGTAATATCCGACAGCAGGCTGCAAGGTATTTATTTAACACCCATCTTTTTTTCCTCAATTAAACCATTGGCTTGCAGATGTATGGATTGTGGTGTGCCGTTTTGCCAGGGCCATACTGGTTGCCCGCTTGGTAATATCATTCCGAAATGGAATGACTACGTATTCAAGAAGAATTGGCGTCAAGCTCTTGAACAGCTTCTGCAGACAAACAATTTCCCAGAGTTCACGGGAAGAGTTTGCCCGGCGCCTTGTGAGGTGGGCGACATTCATTTGTTCAAATGTTATGGGGAACCACCTATAGCGTGCGTAACTTCTTTCCTGGCCTTAATCGAGTCTTTGTAATTGTTGGTGGCACTTTACTTATCGTTATTTCTGCTTAGTTCATGCAAGAATAGTTCAAAATAGTACGGCACTCATAAGGTCATTTCCAGAAATAAGGCTCCCTGCTCGGATGAACAAGCGTTAACATTAGCGCCCTCGATTAAATTCTATGCTCATGGGCAGTTGGGGCTGAATACACACATTTCTAATATCCTCAGAAAGGAGCGCAAGCGTAAAGTGTGTAGGTAAAAGCTCAGCTGGGCAGTCATTGTAGTTCAAAGGTTTAGTTTATGGAGTAACAGTGTTACTGATCCATGTCCATCGGCAGGGAGACCTTATTTCTGGAAGTGACCTTATGAGTGCCGTACTATTTTGAACAATTCTTGCATGAACTAAGCAGAAATAACGATAAGTAAAGTGCCACCAACAATTACAAAGACTCGATTAAGGCCAGGAAAGAAG